TATATATATATATATATATATATATCTGATTCTGTATTAAGATCTGGCAGTAATTTTTTTCAGTGTAATAAAGTTTTAATTCGAGAATTAATTGCAATATATTGAATTTATTTAAGTTGATAAAAAATTACTGTAAAAAATGTCAATCATAATTTTCGGTTGAAAACAGATCGTCAAGCGGTCGAAAGGAAGTGCGGGATATTCATGATACCTTACGTGAATCGGTACTTCTAGCCTGCTTGCTCAATATTGCGAGAAGAGAAAATTCGTTTCAAGTTTCGTAGACAGACCTGGTTTTCTACCACGGTATCTTCAATATAAAATGCATAAAGATTCAAATCATCGTCCGCTAGAATCTCGTGGCTGGAAGCGTTCTGTATGTGTTACAGCTCGCCGCGATAATGAAAATGTGAGAAACCCGTTAACCCGCCACTCCTAAGCTAACGACCACACAGCAGCCGACAATGAAGGTACAAAAGCGAAGCGGCGAACAAATTCTCAATTGGCCATTATTCCGATCATTAGCGATGATTTTCGCTCACAATATCATCCTAATGAATCGCGATAATTAAGCGAGTCGAGAGCGAGAGACACATTATCTCGCTGGGAAAAATTTCAACTTTCGCGCGAGAAAGCACCGTTGACGACAACGGCAAGCAAACAATCGATTTTCGCGATGATTGGCAAGAGAGAGAAAGAGGATTTTACGATATTCTATCTATCTTCAAATCGGCGAGACAATGATTGACGATGGAAAACGAAAAAACCGATGGCCCCCTCGATGACTACGACGTGCCGATTATCGCGTTTCTCAGAAATTGAAACAAGCGTAACAATTCCGACGAAATAGACGGAACTTTCGTCTAAGAGCGTTTTCTTACCTCGTCTCGGAAGCGAGATGCCCCGCTTTCTATATCAATAAAATTGCGCAGCGGAAAGAAACGACCGATTGCTTTAGTGTCTCGGAGGGAACGAACGTATCGCAAATAGACATTATTCCGAAATTACTGCATTAAATTCCCGCTTGCAATTAATCCCCCGATTAAAAATGAGCATCTATCTCGGCATGCTATTTATTTATTTTTACGAAAATCGCGGACATGTAGAAGCGTAGTTTGAATAGAAAGATCAATTAAATCTAATGCCAAGATTGCTCCTCGGAAATCTAAAAACACGCCTTGTGATTAAAAGCATCTCGAGGCTCCTTCAAGCGTGGTTGAAACTTGATATTGCAAAAAGCATAACAAGCGAATATTTGTGCAAGCATTGAGGATGTAATATTACGTTTTTCGTCTTCCCAATTGTCGATTCAGAAAAACAGACATATGCAAAAGTGTTATTATTTTCATTTGTATTCTCATAAACTGAGAAAAAAATTATGCATTTGACTAAATTAATTTTATCAAATAAGCAATTTGTTTTTTTTGTGTGTATTTTCGTCAAATATTTCTTTCAATCTTAACCTATATTTTACTAATAAAATATCGGTGCATTCTGTCTTATCAACCACACACAAAAAAATAAATATCATTTTATTCCTAAGAAAAATGACTCAATTTACTTTATTTCTTTTAAGACTCGGTTATCTTCAACATAGAATATTTTCTTGATAATAAATCTTAATCATTTCTTATTTCCGTTTTAATTTATTTTATTGTTTAATCAAATCTTAAAATATACTTATTACAAATTTTAAAAACTTATTAATATATACTCAAAACAAGAATTTATTTTCTTTTAAAGAATATTACAAAATATTATAAAATTGATTGAAGAAATTTTTTACATATAATAAGGTTTTATTACATATAATAAGTAAATCAAATTTATTTTAATTTGATGATTTTGATTGAAGTTAAATTTACTTGTAGGATTCAGAATATTTTGAAAAAATTTAATATTTGCAATGAATTTATGACAAATTTGCGGATGTATGAATTTGTAAAATATTTGAAAGTATTATGATTTGTGCATACAGTATATTTTTCTGTGTACAGAATTTCGATCACATGATTGGACATCTAGTTATTTTGACCAGAATTCTGATAGATTTACAGACAAGAGATAATTCAACAAAATTATTTTCAGATCTGTATAAATAGCTATTTTTAGATATACATACTTCTGATTTGTCCATTTCCGATCAAAATTCCAATTAATGCAAGTAGACTCTTTTTCCAGTACATCATTATGATTTTTTTTTTCAAATTTTTAATTGTAATTCTCAAAAGAAATTTACGGAACAAAATTCTCCACCTTTCATTGGGTTTACGCCTAGATCGAAGGCACAGCTTCGAAAGTTGACAGCAGCCGCCATTTTGAAGCGATCCGCGCGAAGGCCGTCTTTATGCGTGCATTTTTATCATACGTCGCAGCAAGATAATTACGCTTACGATGTCGCGATGCGCACTCGAGCACGTACGCCGAGATTATACCTCGACTGGAAGAACGTATGGACAATCCTAGAGAGAACGAAATCGTTCGAAGAGGGAATTGTTAAATATAGCATAAAAATTGCTACCAATTTCTCGCGACAGAGCATCTCTTTTTATAATCCCCATTATTCGTAAAATTTGTTTGTGTCTCGGTGCGTCTTTCAAGTCGATTCTCGTGGAGTTTAATTCAAAAATAATCACGAGATAATTCAGGGACGTAAACAGGCTCCTACTCGAGTCCGCGTTTGAAAGATCGAAGCGTTATGTGAGCATTGCATTTCCTTCATCCACACTCTGAACCAGAGATCCTCTAACATAGTCTGGCCATGAATAATTTTATCAAAACAAGAATGAAAAAAAAGGGGAATATATGTAAAACTTTTTATTAGTAAATTTAGGATAAACTTTTATAATAAACATTAAAACTTTTAGAGTTAATTGTCACCCTAAAAAGTGAAATTTCTCTCTTAACGATTGAACGACTCAATTTTTATTCTTTGGAATAAGAATATTTCACTCCAAAGAATTTAGAGAGTACTATTTCTCTTTATATATGCTGTCTCATTCTAACTTGATGAAGTTGACAAAAATGACGGGCCAAATCAAAAGTTGTTCGTCATCTCATGGCCAGATTCTGTTATAGATTTCTACGCCGAGCGGAATGCCGCGCGCATTCGTTGCATCTCGAGGCATCCAGACGACGTAAATCATCCCCCCGGTCGCGTCGTAAGCCGTTCCGTGCAGCCGACATTACCAGCCGCGCAGATTAAATCGCGACGCCATGTCGCCGATTGCGATGGTCGAGGACAGGGGGATTTAAATCGCCACTCGACGACGATCCTGCTCGCTCTAATCGTCAGGCTGGAAGATCGGCGCGAATGCGCTTATCTACGACTGATCGACCTCGCAAAAAGTACAGTTCAATTGTACCGAATTGCGAATTCGCGGATTATTGACTTCTGCTTAATATTGTATAGCGAGATTGGCTGCGTTTAGCGGAAAAAGCTTTGCAGCAACTGTTGTACAAATTCTTTAACGTGATTTGTTTACTCTCTAAATTCTTTGGAATGAAATCTCACACTAAGGAGGGAAAATTGAACCAATCTTCAATCAAAAGGAATGGCTCAATTTCCAATCTTTAAGGGTGAAATTTTACTCTTCAGAGTGAGATTTGTGATTTATGGGCTCATATCTAAACTTCAAGTCTTAAAAAATTGATCAATCACAGTCGGACGTGAGAAGAGTAATCGATTATTATTTGTCATTCTCTTACGATTTAAAGCTTAAATAATGGCTTATTATAGAAAGTTCATTAGATATACATTTACATGAGCAATCAAGACAAAACCAATCATATCAAAGAGTTTCACAACAATTGCAAAACTGCATTTTACCGAATGGAGTCATTGAGATTTCTTCTTTCTCCGAAGGCAGGGTAATTTTGTACGGTATTTATTCTACATTTGGAAAGCTCCTGGATTCTGAGGGATCGAGTGCGCGCGCGGTTCGAGTAGGAAGAGAGAAAGAGAGAGAAACGACAGTCAGAGAGACTAGAATAAAGGCAATCGATCCTCCCTCACTGGGCACGCAGAGAGACCGTTGAACGAACGGATAGACACGCACGCACGCGAGAAAGAAAATGCGAGGGGATCAATTTGGCCTACGTGTAATCGGGGAGAAAAAAATGAGGGAGAGAGGAAGGAGAGAAAAAGAGAGAGAAAGAAAAAAAAATACTTGGCGACACTTACCTCGTACTTGATGCCATTCAACCGCAACCACGTCTCCACCTTGAGACCATACGGGGATAAGGACGGGAGCAGTGGCGTCCGCGGGAACTGATATAGATAAACAACGTCCTTCTCGTAGTCGGGGTGGTGCACGGTGCTGGCCTTCGCCGGCGCCGTGGCTGCGCCGGCGGCCGCGGCGGCGGCGGCAGCGTCGTCGTCCTTCTTGCCGGCTGCCTCGTCCTTCTTCGCCGCCGCGTCCTTCTCTTCCTGCTTGTTATCCGGCGGCGCGTCGTCTTTAAGCGCCTCCTTCATTTCCTTCACGTCCTTGATCTCCTTGCTCTCGGGCCCGTTGTTCTCCGTCTCGGTTGCCATCGTCATTGTCGTTGAACGGCTACGCGTTTGCGTTTCTCCAAAACTCTCGTTCTCGTCGTCGTCCCCTTTACCGTCCGGCCAGAGGGGAGGAGGGGAATGGGGGGGATGGGGACTACAGTCGCGTGCTTCTCTACTTCAAAACTCGTGTCTCCCTCGTCCTGAGAATCGCCGTCTCCGCTCGATCGCGCGTGCACTCTCCGATCTCGAGCCTATCTCGACGGTAGCGCGCACCACACAAACCGTACGCCAAGCACTCGTCGCTCGTCGCCGCTTTCTGCTCGCCGGCCGGTTCCTTCCTTCTCGCCGCCGCTCGCTACCTCGCTTCGCGCAGTCGGTTCTCCCCTTGCCGCGCGCGCGCGCAGTGGCGGCGCGCATGCGCAAGCGCCACACCCCGCCGTGGTCGACATATTTAATTGGTCGGCCACCCCTGCCTTGCGTGCGCGCGACGAACACGGATGAAAGGAGAGAAAGAGCGCACGAGTGTCTTCCCTTTCCCCTCTCCTTCCGTGTCTTGGAATACTCCAGGAAAGTCACGGCAACGCCGCCGTGGCAGCGGCTAGCGATGGCTTCGAGCAGGACGAAAGGGCAACGATACCTTCCGCTTAAAAGGAACAGTGCGCGCAGGGCCATTTTTAGGGATGCAGATGCCCATGTGGGTATAAAAAAAATGTGCTTGAAAACATCCTAAGACGAAGAATGACGGGCATTAATAAATTTTAAGTATCTCAGGCGACACAAACTGAAAGTAATAACGTCAATTGGTTAGTTCGCGTTGCTTGAAGTCCTTAAAAATTTTTGCACTTAAAACAAGATAAATATATAGATATATTCGGGTGATGGGAAGAAAAAAAACGAAGATACCGAGTGCAAAAAGTACAAGCATAACGAACAGAACCTAATGTTAACGTCTGCATTCAACAGTGGAAATAATGTACAATAAAATGTCTGATTTTCTTATTTCTGCACTAGAAATTTCTTATTCGTTATGATGGCAAATACATATCTAACTCACTTTACATTCCAAAAGCATATACTAGTTCAGCTACAGAAAAAACAGACTTGTAATGTAATATATGTGATGTTATAACAAACATTGATATTATTGTTACAACATTGATATACAACATTGATTATGTTATTTTTAATTGATGTCGACTGGGATACTTCGCTTTGTTTTACGCTTTGTTTAACGTGATACATAATAGCAATCAGCTTTGAACTGTTGTAAGATTCTTTAATATGATTGATTTATACATTTGGATTTATACATTTGGATTCAGAGAGAATCACTGAGAGAAAAAAATTAATCATCATAAAAAAATCTTTCAAAAGCTACCTTTTGTACTGTAAACGCTGTTATTTTTTATTTTATCGATGACTTGAGTTTTATTGTAATTTTGAGAGATCCCTTTTGAGCATTTTGATGTATGTCCTGTCTTTACTGTCTTCGTTGAAATAGCATAGAAAGTAAAGGAAACAAAAAAAAATTTAGGGTGTGATCTATCCAGACAACCATAAACGCATACATAAAGAAATTTATCCAGTTTACTGCATAAAGAAAATTATTGTATTTCACATGCGTCTTTATAATATAAATATGATCTTTTTATGCATTAATTTAATTTAAAAAAAAAAAAGATGAAGAGTAAGTTAAACCAAGATTAAAGTTAGTCTACATTGATAAAAATGCATATTAAACAATAAAACGCAAGTAAAAGAAATTAACATAAAAGAATCAACATTTATTACGTTATTTATTTGCTTTACGTAGGTCTCTGTTAATAATTAATATCGATTTATTTACTACTAACATTTTACTGCCTCAGTTTTTTTTATGTGCCACATAATCTTTATGTTTTGTTTCTTATGCTATTTCGGACAACAAAAATAATGAAGGTGCGACGTATATCAAAACGCATAAAAACGATATCTTTCAAAAAGTATAATTCAACAAAAATAAAATTCAAATTATCGAAACAATAATGCTAAAAATTGATATGCTGCGTTCAAAGAAAGTAGCTTTGCAATTGTAAATTTCTTTAATATGGTTGGTCTTGTCAATCTTAATTGATTTCTGTTAATTTTCTTATACTTCTAAATTTCTTATATTTCTAATCTAAATGTATAAACCAATAATATTAAAGAATTTTATACAACAGTTGTAAACCCATATTATACAGATTATTCTAGTAATATATAAGCAACATTGCAATGTTCCAGCAAAATATTGCAAATGTGGTAATATTATAGGAACATCGCAAATATTGCAGCAAATATTGCTGCAAACTTCTGTGTTATATGGGAAGTTGCTTTCTCTTAAACGCAACCATTCTTTCCTTAAGAATGAGGGAAAGGAAAAGAAAGGAGGTTAAAATTTTATCGAACAATAAGATAAAATTTACTCTACTTTTTAACATTAAATATCATTCCCCATTTCACACGCGCATTGACTGCGTATAGTCGGTATTCACAATCAATTCTTGTAATCTGTTAAGACTGTCAAATTGTCCACAGGCCAATCACAGAGCCGTATTAGCATCTTAAAAGACATTACTTAAAACGCTCTTAACCTGATTTCTGCATGTGGAACTATGTTCTACTAAAAAATTTTTTTAAATTTAATTCAAGGGCCTAATAAGTAATTCGTATTAAAAAATTCACTTTTTTCCAAATTTTGATTATTTTCCCAACAAATATATTATATGTACATTTAATTTTAAATGTCAATAGAAATAATTTCAATGGATATATTCAAATTTGATGTAGATTACAATGTACATAGAGTTTGGGGTTAAATCGAGAAAAAACGATGAGTAAGTGCCTATAGATAGAATCAGTCAAATGCGACTGAGGGTGCTGTGTCTCTAATCGCGTTCCTGGGACCATCGTTCTATCGACCGAGTAAGGAGGATCGTTCTCGAGTGCGTCAGACGAGCCGGAGATTCGAAAATCGGATCGGTCCCATCGCTTGCACGTCCCGGGCTGTGCCGATGCAACGCGTGCGCGTCGGCGTTTACACGCACGGAAACGCGGCAACGCCGCGTATCAAGCGGCGCAACAACGAACCCCTTTTCACGGGTTACTTTTTTTTTCCACACTCTCTCTCTAGCCGATGGACTGCTATTTGGAAAACTACTTGCCGGAACTTGCGCTGTTCGCGGAGCGCAAGCTCAGCCCGATCAGCTCTGATGTTCTCTCGTTCTCTTTTTTTACATTCTCTCCTTCTATTCATCTCTATTTCCTTCTCTCTTTCTCTTTCTCCGCCATCGCCCAGTTCGAGTACCGTTTCGAGATTGTTAAGCCTAGAGATTGAAATTGCACCCTCGTGCGCGATGCGCCGCTTCGCCTCGGAATTATCGATAGACTGGCAGACGGTGGATGCGATCGATAAGGTGCGCGACACCCTTCCGATAGGACGTTTAAACCCTTTACGGTCTTGCATCGTGACGTGTCAGTCCCCCTGATAATTTTACACGCGTCTTTTTTTCTTTTTTTGTTTTGTACTTGTGATATATCGGGAAAACGGCATGGGAAAATGCCATGTAATTCGCATGAGAAAAACTTGCGTTTTTCCATTTCATGAAACGTTTCGAACGACGAGCGATGAATCGAATATCGCGGCGTTTTAAAAACGAGAGAGTTAATGATCGTGAAAACGAGAAGAAAAAAGCGGAACATCACTTCTCTCGACTTTTGTCTTTGCGTCGTCCCGTCGAAAGAGGAAAACCGCGAACGGTAATCCTAATGAGAATAAAAGTTGGAACTTACCTTGTAAGATGATTACGTTTCTTTTCCCCTATCATAACTCGCACTGGACTTCAAAAAAGTTTGAGGTTTTGTTTCCTTAATAATAATCATATTTCTGTATTAAATAAATACAACAATACTCTTTTATGCGAGAAATTCACTTTTTTTTTCAAACCTGACATTTATTTCTCATATAAATTTTAGAACACGAACTTCACACTTTTTTTTAAAAATGCTATCCCTGTAGAAAATAAATTTTTATGAAAAAGAATTAAAAATGAAAAAAGTTATGATATTTTGAGTAAAAAAATTTATTTTTGAAATTTTTACTTTTACAATTTTTTAATTGTTAAAATTAACTTTTTCAAAGCCGCTGTATTTTTATTTTCTACAATATTTAAAAAGTATATTCAATAACTTTTTTCACTTCAAAGAACAATAACCGTGAATATACGGTTACCGATTATAAATGCGTTGGGGTGCATTTGCCCCAAGAGATTATGAAGGATTAAGTTTCGTATGGATAGGGAAAAAAAGCATATTTGAACAATTTGATTTTACAGTGAAAAAAAGATGATTCGTTTAATTAAATTAATTTAGTTGTCTTTATTTTTTTTGTTGGAGACTGTATGTATTCAAGTCTAATGTATATATTTCATTTCAACAAATACATTCTTCAATAAATAAGAATAAAGACAGCGAAATTAATTTAGTCAAATGAACAATTTTTTTCAATGCATGATCAATGCATGATCAATGCAATTGATTAATTCTCTCTTCATCAGAGATCTCGAATCGATTTCTAATATTGTGAAAGGATGTACGTTTTGTTGTCTTAGTTTCTTCTAGAAGCTCCGTTTATGTTGTAAAGCCCATTTTGTTATACAATTTTGTAAGCAAAGACTGAGAAAAATGTTCTGGTTAAACCAACAAAAGACTCAATCTCAGAATGGCACGTTGGTTATCACAATCAAAAATTCTATTTTGCCTCATCATTCCGGTTAGACTTTTTTAATCAGACTATTTTTCTTTGTGTAATTGTAAGTAATTGGAGTAGTAAGAATTAACTAATCACAGTCAAGTATGAGAAGAATATTCGACTATGATTGGTCAATCCTTACAACTACAACCATTTACAATTACGCTTATACAACTGAATAGAATGGGTTTTATTCTCCCCTTACATTCGACTTACACTCCGATTTTTATTTTCACCGGGGAACTCATGCAGAATTATTTTTTTATGTCGCATTTTGTTGGGGGGGGGGGGTGAACAGTGGGGTGACACAAGGACGACAATTTGGGATAACTGTGATGTAGGATAATTTAGGATTGCCATACAAAATTTTTGTAACAGTAACTTTAAGATGTTAATTTAAACCAATCAGGATATTGCTTTAGATCTACGTAGTCTAACGAAAATAGAAACAGCAATAAACTTATCTATAAAGCGAGTTTCAACCAGTTGAAATTCACTTTATTGCGAAGTTATGGATAAATTTACTGTTATTCCATTTCTGTTAGATTACGTAATCTAAAGCAGTATGCTGATTGGCTCATCGGCTTAAG